CCTTTCAAAAAAATAACTATCTGCATTATAATATATGAGGGATAAAATAGTATATTCATATTAAAAAAATTAATAAGGTAAAATATAAATAGGACTAAAAAAATATTTTCTCTCTGTCTTATAAGTAGGACCAAAAGAATATTTGATATGAATAAAATAAGAACTCATAATTTTAAGATAGAATTAACAGCTTTTACTTGTAAACAGGAGTAGCTCACTGTATAAATAGAATTAAACTTGCCTCATATTCATCTTGTATATGGTTTATAACCTAAACTCGGTTCTCTAAGCTAATCCGAAGTGTCAATGCATTTAATCCTCAGGAGGGATTACACTTGAGGAGGAGTACTGGGCTTATGAGGTTGGTGCGCACGTTTTAACTACCACTCTTTGTTGAACGAGCGTGAGAATGTTTAGTACGCCCTTCAGAGTACAGTGAACATCACAAAATACTTCTTCCATTCAATACCTGAAGAACATTAAGATTTAATTTGTAGTTTAAATTAAATGATAAAGTATCGCCTTTCTGGTCGCATTTCCGAAACCATCGGCAGCATCATTTTTTGGACAGGACATCAGCATCATCATTGAATAACCTTTACAACAGAACAGGCGTCAATTTTTTTTTCAAAAGGATTTGGATTTGTTCGAAGACGAACACGTGTACAATCTTCGTCCACATTCCGTACCAAACCAGTTTCAATACTTATTAATTTAATCAACATCTTAAACTTATTAGATTTGCATCATTCAGATCTTAGTTAAATAATTCAGATTTTAATTTTTTGCTTAACTATTTTTAAATAGAAAAAATTATTTGTTGAAAGAAATTAAATCTGAATCATCCAAATGAAATTTGAATAATCTAAACCTGATAAGATTAGAGTACTCATCAAAATAATGAACATTTTAACTAGTTCCCATCAAGAATTAGTTCCAGTGCTTATCGCATTAATGATGAGCACCATAATACTTATCGCTATGATGAAATCTAAACCATTCAAAATCACTTCTAATCATCTAAATTTAAAATTTTTAACTAGTAATTTTTAAATAAAAAAATTATTTTTATAAAACTTATAATTACGAGATTATATTTTTCTTGAATTATGTACCTATTAAAAAGAAAATATTTTTCAAAAAACAAAAATATTAAACATTAAATCTTAACCATTCATATTAAATTTGAATGGTTGAAATTTGATGAGTATCATAATATTTATTATTGTGATTCACATTGAAATTGGTTACCTGAAACATGAAACTAGTTTCATTACTCATTAGCAGTAATGAACAACATGATACTCATCAAACCTTAACCATTCAAATTTAATATGAGCAGCTGATATTTAATATTTAATATTTTTTATTTTAAAAAATATTTTTCTTGTAATAGATACATAATGCAAAATAAATATAATTTCTTACCTGTAAGTTTTTAAGAAATAAATTTTTATTTAAAAATTTCAAATATACATCATTAAAACTTTAGATTTTACTAGATGAGTATTATGATGCTTATAGCCACAATCAGTGCTGAAACTAGTTTCCGGAAACATCTCCCGCATTTATAAATATGCATTGAAGATTGAAAGGCATGTATGTAACCAAATCAAGAACCCGACACTACATTCGCAAAGTAAGCCGGAGGTTCCAAACCGATAGAGTAACATGTCATCGGGGTCCGACATCGTTCACGTGGCCTTCGTCCCGAGTGCAGGTTTCGGACATCTCGGCCCATGTCTCCGACTCGCCGCCTTGTTCCTCCGCCACCAACACTGCCATGTCACTCTGATCACTCCCAAGCCCACCGTCTCCCTCGCCGAGTCCCACCTCATCTCTCGTTTCTGCTCTTCATTCCCCAGTCAAGTTTCCCAAATCGATTTCCAGCTTCTTCCTTTTGATCCTTCCACTGAAAACTCCTCCGATCCTTTCTGGCTCCAGTTCGAACGCATACGTCGCTCTGTTCACCTTCTCATCCCCATTCTCTCTTCTCTTTCACCTCCTCTCAATGCTCTCATCCACGACATTAGTTTGATTTCTCCGATGATTCCTGTCTCTGACAGCCTCGCTGTTCCGAGTTACATCTACTTCGTCGCCACCGCAAGAATGTTCTCGTTTTTCTCGCACCTGTCTGTTCTTGATGCGGCCAATAAACAAGCCCAGGGCCACCCTGCTTCGTTTATCGGCGATGCTGTCGAGATCCCAGGGATTCGTTTGCCGATACCCAGATCTTCGATCCCTCCTCTACTACTTCAACCAGGAAGTTTGTTCGAGAAAATATTCATGGAGGACAGTCCCAAACTGACGAAACTTGATGGGATTTTCATTAACACGTTTGACGAAGTGGAAGCCGAGGCCATGGCGGCCCTCAATAGCGGGAAAGTAGTTCCAGGGTTGCCTCCTGCGCATGCCGTTGGCCCTTTCATGCCTTGTGAGTTTGAGAAGGTAAACTGGAATCTGTCAAAAACTACTCCAATAATCTGCATTTACAGAAATTGCTTTTTATATATATTATTTTCTGTTTTGCAAACTGAGAGCTAGGGTGAATGTTTCTTTTCTACAAGCCCTTTTGGCCTTCAAAAAGCAGAATCCAAACATAACTCTCAACAGGAAGTAAGATGATTTTTGTATATATGAACTATATATAATTATTATAGTTTGCATCAGGCGCCAGAAGAAGAAAACTCAGATGGTTCACTAATGAAGTGGCTTGATGGTCAACCAGAAGGGTCAGTGGTGTATATTTGCTTCGGCAACAGGACGGCGACAACGAGGGAGCAAGTAAAAGAGATGGCAGAAGGGTTACTGCAAAGTGGCTACAGATTCCTATGGGTGGTGAAGCTGAAGATGGTTGACAAGGAAGACGACGAAGATCTGGAACAAGTGTTAGAACCAGAGGTAATGAAGAAGATTAAGGAGAAGGGTCTTGTGGTGAAGACATGGGTGAACCAGGGAGAGATTCTGGGCCACTCTTCAGTGGGAGGGTTTGTGAATCATGGAGGATGGAACTCCATAGTGGAATCCATATGGAATGGAGTGCCTGTTCTGTCATGGGGTCAGAACGGAGATCAGAAGATAACGTCGGAGGTGGCGGCGGAGAGTGGGGCCGGAATATGGCCGGCGGAGTGGGGTTGGGGCGGAGAGGTAGTGGTGAAAGCAGAGGAGATAGCCAAGGCAGTGAAAGAGATGATGAACAACGAATCTCTCAAGTTGAAAGTGTTGCAACTCAAAGACGCTGCAAGGAATGCGGCTGCTGTTGGAGGGAGCTGTGACATTAAAATCAAGACGATCATTGAGGAATTGAGGAAGAAGAAGAAGAAGACTGTCCACTGATTGACGAACAGTTACAAATGTCCTGTTCTTTAATCTCCTTTAATTTGATACCGTACTACTTGATGCCTGCAGCAACAAATTAAATATCATGCATCTTCCATCATGTCATATTTGTTTGACTCTTAATCTACCCAACTTAATTAAATATCTCATTACATTAAAGATTAGGGGAATATGACAACATCCCAAATTTTAAGACTCTGAAAAAAAAAAGGCCAAAAAGCGTAATTCGTGGTGAAAAATTTAAAAAGATGATTAACTAAATTATCTAAGGCTAAGAAATTTGGGAGAAAATTGAAAAGGTTTATTTCTCTAATTATACACATTATTAGAACTACCTCTTGGTGGGGGCCCTTAATATACATTTAAAATATAAATATTTTGAAAAAAAAAATTATAAATTTTAGAGAAAAAATATATTAAAATGTTATATTTAATTACGACCAAATCTAAACTCCTCACAAGCTGTAATAAAGACCGAAGTTAATATTATGCTAGGTCAACGAGATACCATATTTTATGGAATGGAAACTGAAAGCTATGGAAGACCGAGAGAAGACTATGACTATGGAAGGAAAGAGAAGATAATTAAAAAATTAAAAAAAAAGAATGAAAATTCACCATATTTTATTAGTGGGGTCATTTGTGATTATATTTATGTCTGAAGTTTAAATCACACCAACTCATTAAAGCATGAGGAAAATCGCAATTGGACATCAACAAATCCACTTATCTATCAATAAACAATAATTAATTCTTACATTTCTTGATAACATAACTTACATTAAAGTACAAAATCTGCACCAAAATAGTAGATGCACCTTACTTCCTCTACCTTCGTAAAATAGTTTACAATAATCAACTATAAAATGGTCACTAAAGGCTGGCCTGTTTCTGTTTGTTTTTTCCTTCTTTTTTTTTGCTTTTAAAAAAAATTTATAAAATCAGTTTTTACAACAAGTTTTGAGAATATGTAAAATAAAAAAAATATGCTTGGTTTTACCAAACATTCGTTGCTAGCTATTCTAGAAGTCCAGTTTTCTTTTGCACTGAAGGCAAGTGAATTCATCAGATTTATTTAATATGAATAAAAAAAAGCACTCATAATTTTTTAGATAAAATCAATAACTTGTAAAAAAGATGTTACAAATAACGTTGGAGTGAGTTAATATTAGGATTAGCTCACATACGGTGGTTTGTTTTTATCCTTTACAACATTAAACTTGTCTTATATTCATCTTGTTTACATATATATATATATGTGTGTGTGTGTGTGTCCTAATATTCCTCCTCTAAGCTCATCCACAGTGTTACTTCGCCGAAACCAACCTCTGCAATGCATTTAATCCGCAGGAGGGATTAACTTTGAGAAGGAAGACAAGTCTCAATGTGAGGTTCATGAGGTTGGGGCGCACATTCTTACCCACCATTTGTTGAACGAGAGGTGACAATATTTAACCTTTTTGAATTTTCTTCGAATTGAAGAACCCAACGACGAAACAGAAATCATATTTGAAAAAAAAAAAACGTGGATATTTTCGAAGAAGAACTCAGATCCACGATCTTCCTCCACATTCCAAACAGCACCCTCATCTATAAAGGTGTCATATGCATCGAAGTTTGAAAGTCACGTATCTAACCAAATCAACAACCCGCCGGTGATATTCACAGAGTAAGGCTATAGAAGAACATGTCATCGGGGTCCGATGTCGTTCATGTGGCCTTCGTCCCAAGTGCAGGTCTGGGACATCTCAGCCCGTGTCTCCGAGTTGCCGCCTTGTTCCTCCGCCACCAGAATTGCCACGTCACTCTCATCACTCCCAAGCCCACCGTCTCCCTCGCCGAGTCTCACCTCATCTCTCGCTTCTGCTCTTCATTTCCCGGCCAGGTCACCCAAACCGATCTCCATCTTCTTCCTTTTGATCCTTCCACTGAAAACTCTTCCGATCCTTTCTGGCTCCACTTCGAACGCATACGTCGCTCTGTTCACCTTCTCATCCCCATTCTCTCTTCTCTTTCACCTCCTCTCAATGCTCTCATCTACGACGTTAGTTTGATTTCTCCTATGATTCCTGTCTCTGAAAGCCTCGCTGTTCCTAGTTACATCTACTTCATCGCCGCGGCAAGAATGTTCTCGTTTTTCTCGCACCTGTCTGTTCTTGATGCGGCTAATAAACAAGCCCAGGGCCACCCTGCTTCGTTTATCGGCGATGCTGTCGAGATCCCAGGGATTCGTTTGCCAATAACCAGATCTTCGATCCCTCCATTACTTCTCCAACCAGGAAGCTTGTTCGAGAAAATTTTCATGGAGGACAGTCCTAAACTGACGAAACTTGATGGGATTTTCATCAACACGTTTGACGAAGTGGAAGCTGAGGCTATGGCGGCCCTCAATAGCGGGAAAGTAGTTCCAGGGTTGCCTCCTACGCATGCTCTTGGTCCTTTAATGCCTTGTGAGTTTGAGAAGGTAAACATAACTATAGTTTAAAGTTTGCAAAATAGGCATTTGACAAACTAACTGAAGTGCGTCAAAAACGGACTTTTTATATTTATTTTCTGTTCTGGAAACTGAAGTTGAGTCAAATGCCAGTTAGGGTAAAATTTTGTTTTCTGTAACTCTTTTTGGTTTACAAAAGTGCGATGTAAACATCACCTTTAAAATGATATACGAAAAGGTTTAGTTTCTTAACAGACAGTGAGATGCTTTTCGTTATGAATTATATATAATTATTATAGCTTGCATCAGGAACAAAAAGAAGAAAAGTCAGCGAGTTCACCATTGAAGTGGCTTGATGGTCAACCAGAAGGGTCAGTGGTATATATTTGCTTCGGCAACAGGACGGCGACAACGAGGGAGCAAGTAAAAGAGATGGCAGAAGGGTTACTGCAAAGTGGCTACAGATTCCTATGGGTGGTGAAGCTGAAGATGGTCGACAAGGAAGACGACGAAGATCTGGAACAAGTGTTAGAACCAGAGGTAGTGAAGAAGATAAAGGAGAAGGGTCTTGTGGTGAAGACATGGGTGAACCAGGGAGAGATTCTGGGACACTCCTCAGTGGGAGGGTTTCTGAGTCATGGAGGATGGAACTCCACGATGGAATCCATATGGCATGGAGTGCCCCTTCTAACATGGGGTCAGAACGGAGATCAGAAGATAACATCGGAGGTGGTAGCAGAGTGTGGGGTCGGGGTTCGGCCTGACTGGGGTTGGGGCGGAGAGGTGGTGGTGAAAGCGGAGGAGATCGCCAAGGCAGTGAAAGAGATGATGAATAATATTGAACCTCTCAAGTTGAAGGCGTTACAACTCAAAGAGGCTGCAAGAAAGGCTACTGCTGTTGGAGGGAGCTGTGACATTAAAATCAAGACAATTATTGAGGGGTGGAAGAAGAAGAGGGATGTTCATTAATTAATTGATGAACAGTTAAGTTAATCAGGCAAATTAGTCCCTCACCGAAGTGCAAGTTTTTGTTCTCTAATTTACTTTAATTTGATCACGTGTTGTTGTTTAATTTTCTTGAATTTGAACCTCCTAGGGCTTGTTTGGATCAGTAATTGTGCAAAATTTTGTAAGCATTAATAAAGGAAAAGGTGTGGGAGTCGACTTATCTCCTTCGTGTGGCAGTTAATTTCTTACCTCTTCAGGGTAGAAATTACTTTGCTTTTCAAACAAAAGTGACAAAAATCTTCTTTCTGCCGCTGTTTGATTGACAGGTCTAAAGGGCTCCCCGCTGCATGACCTTTTTTTTTTGGACTCACCTGATGCATCACTTTACTTGGGGGGAAAAGGGATGTGCTCAGAGTCTTCACTCCGTCACTCATTGTCATTGAATAATAATCTGTTTGATTTTTATTTTAATTTATATAAGATTTTAATTTATTTATTTTTTATAATAATGATAATCTTAGTCAATATATTTTATTAATTATAAAAATTTGTTTGATTTTTATTTTAGTTTATATAAGGTCCCACTATATTTTATCTCTTATATTTATCTATTTTTTTAAAAATAATTTTTATAATAATAATAATTCTAACCAATACATTTAATTAGTAAAAATATTTTAAAAAAAGATAATATATTTATTAAAAATAAGTAACTTAACTAAATTTTTTGATATATTCAAATTGATTAATTAGTTCTTATATGATCATAGTAAAGACCGGAACTACATGTTAACATCTTTTTCCTTTTACGGAAGACATGCTCACCTTTTTTTTGTTTTTTTTTGGGTGGTGGTCTGTGCCATACAATTCAACTAGCTACGCCAGCCTTATTCCTCAATAACAACGCCAAATTTAGGCAAAATGGACAGGGGTAGTGATGCAGGACGACGCCAGACAGGCAACGTGAACATGAAAACTCGGCCCAGCATGGGTTTTTTATTGTTAATTTCTTTTTATGAAATTGGTTGTGTTTACGAAAAATTGCAGAAAAATCCTCTATTAGAATATTTATTGCCTAAAAGTATTTGAAATTTGTGAGCTCTTAAGTGGTTGCAACTTTTTATTAGTTATGTCCAGCGTATTAACCATATGCAAATATCTGTCGTTTCACATTAAAGTAAGATGCGTGCAACTCATTTTTAGCATATATGATTTTTGTTTAACCATATAGAAGTTAAAGCTATATATAACTGATATAAAAAATTTTCTAACCAATAAAATTTTTAATAAAGGATTTTCCCTTAATTTTCCCTTTTTTTCAAGCACTTAACATGCGTCATGTCCTAGTTAGCTAGAGAGTAGAGTTTTTTTTTAAAATATAAATTACCTCACTAAGTTTATTATGTAAATATAAATATAATTTATATTAAGGACCAAATTGCTAAGAATCAAAGTGTTTTATAATTCTAAGGCAAAAAAAAGTATTTTATAATTCTAGTACAATATATTAAAAATATCTTATAAATACTCCTATGATCTTATTCATAAAGCACTTCTAACATGTGTTACACGTATCAAGAAAAACTTTAAACTGCATTAGCTCTTCATTAAAATATAGTAACTTTTCAATTTTACCCCTATTTAATATATACACCTTTTAAAAAAAAACTATCTACACTATAATAAATAAAGGACAGTATAATATATTCATGGTAAAAATTTAATAAAATGATTTATAAATAAATAAAAAATCCCCTCTCTTTACCTTGTAAATAGGATAAGAAGAGTAGAAGCAAACGGAAGCACGCGCACATTTATTATATACTTGTATCATTGTATGCATGAAGTGTCATAGATTAATTCAAATAACGCCTTCTGAGAATGGGTCCGTGCAGTCAAAGAGCTTAAATTTGATTAATTAATTTAGTAATTCTTCGTTGCATCCTAATTCAAACAGAAATAACACAATTATAAAATTTAAAGGCACAATTTGTCACATAAATCACTTTTTTAAAATATGGAATAAATCACTTAAAAAAAGAAGAAATGTGCCGTGAATTTTTGTATCTTTATTCCTTGTTTGTTCACCCATTTCCAGATGCTGCCAACATCATATTTAAATTTTTGTGTCTTTATGATTGTAAATTACTCCATCCGTTCCTTATTATAAGAGACAAATAACCGAAGTACGTTGATCAAAAAAACAGTTAAAATTAGTTAAGAACAATTAATGTATAAAAAGTATAATTTTTTTCCAAAAATGCCCTCATTAATAAGGAGAGAGAGCATGAGAGAGAATAATTAAATTATTAAAAGAAAGAGAAGTGAGAAGGAGAGGGAGTGTGAGTTGGAGATAATAAATATAGGTAAAATAGTAAATCAACACAAAAAAGTAGAGACAACTTATAAGTGTCTCTTATATATAGGAACATGCCATAAGCATCAAATGTCTCTTATAATAAGGAACGGAGGGAGTAATTAATTATCATAAATATCATAACAAATTACAGAAAGCTAAGAAAAATAATTGTCACGTCGATCAACAGGAGAAAAAAACAATAAAGAACGTGATGGATAAGGTTGATAAAAACAACATTCAAAGATTGGAAGGTTCCGAATTTATTATAAAAAAATATTAATTTATCATATCATATGTTTATGTTGTAATGTCCGCTTTTTCGCGCTCTCAAACTGCCTCAACAATGAGTCATGTTGATAATGACTCTAACATTTTTGTTGGATTAAACGAATATGACCATTTGGTATTTGTTTATTTTAAAATGTTAATAATTAAAATGATGGAAAAATTAAAAAATTCTCTTGAATAAATCCAACGATATAAAACTTCAAATTGATTCATATATATAAAACTTGAATTTGATACAAATTTATATTTCTTTCCTAAAATATTCATACCACTATACCTACTAAGAGTATGCCTACTAAGAGTATGGATAGTTTTAATATGTATGATTAAATATAATAATTTAAAATTTAATACATATTTATTATAAATAACTAAATTAATTAATTTTTTAATATTCGTAAATCAAGAGCTGCTGAAAAGAAGTAGTTAATATATCGCGTTATATAAAGAAGACAAACCCCTCATTTGAATATCTTGGAATCATATGGAGCATAATATATCATACTGCTCTTGTTCTATATATTTGCAAGACAAAGTGACAATTTATATAGACATGATTGACAAATAAATGAGTTGAAATTGATAAGGAAAGGTGTTGAGAGTAATAATCAGTTCACGATTGCAATCTTTCACGCACAAATCCTTTGGGGGAGAGCTCACTAGTAGAGATTGATTATTTCACAAGCTCTTAAAAGTTAAAAAGATAGTTACTCTTCCGATTCTTAATATAAGATATATTTAACTAACTTAATTAGATTAAAGAAATTAGATAAGTTAGTTAATTATAAGAAATATGATATGTTTTTTTAAAACACCATAATCATCTTTTTTAATATTCTCTCTCTCTCTTTTACTTGATTATAATTGAGGGAGTATCTACAGAGATAATTTAAGAAAAACTGTAAATATAAGAAATAGGTCTTATATTTAGAACCAAAATTAACTTAATAATTAAGTTCTATATTAAGAACTAGGAGAGTATAAATTATTTGGTATTGAGAAATTTTTATTGGCGATGAGATCGATTCAAGCCTCTACACTTTTATAAGGCGTGAGTTGCATCTGGATGGCTTTTGTTAATCTAGGCCAGTTTTATATTGCGAAATTTTTTTAATAAAATATAGGGAGTATTTATTGATTTTTTTAATTTGTTTTCTTTCTCGTGAAGCGTGTGCCCGCCGGGCATCCGAACTGGGTGAACAAATCTTATCATGAAGCGGTTAATAGTGTATCCTTAAAACCTATCCATCAATTTTATTATAATTTGTATTTTATTAAAACCGTGCTTTCAGAATTCTCCTTTTTTTTTTCCCAGAGCTTTCAGAATTTTCTTAGTTCTTAAACTTTATTCAAAAAAAGACTCCATAAAATCATAATAAATTATAAGAGTAAAAATACAGAAAACATTATTAACTCAAATCAAATCAATCCCGCCGCCACTCCTTTGTTTGAATTGATAAATAAAGTAAAACGAGAATCAATCAATAAATTAAAATTATTAATGATTTAGCCTTATTAATTTAAATAATTGTCCTGCTGCTTGAACTTTGCTGCTCTGTAAACCCATACATTACATTTATTTTATATATCAATTTCTATATAAAAATTAATATTATTAATTTTTAATTACACGAACGACTTCGTTTATAGCAAGCGGTGAAGCAAAATTTTCTTATGATTAATTTTATCATCAATAATTCAACTGTAGATTTGTTTGTTAGTGTACCAATTAGTTAATTACAGTGGTTTCTTTAATTAAATTACTCGTTAATCAATTTTACTTATAAGTTAAGAAGAAATTTTTCATCCATTAGATAAAACATTTTAAATAATCAACAAACCATTAAAACATTGTTTTCAAATTTTTACTTCATATATAAATATTTCTCCCATAGCTTAACGAAGGTATTGGCAAATCGAATTTAATTAACAGGTTGGGCTAATTTTTACAAGCTTTTAGTACTATAATAAGATCAGAAATACACACACACACATAGAGAGAGACACTTAATATGATAATATTATGCCTATTACATACTTAACAATGAGAGAAAAAAATTAAATGATCGAAATATATCAATTAAATAATTAATCAAGAAAACTTATTAAGTCAAAAGATTAAAACTGGAAATTAAATGCTACACTTCTATTTATATTCATCCAATACTTTTATTTCACTATAATTAAGAAAATTTTTAAATCTCATTAAATTTATTTTAAAAATTTAATCATTTTTTAACTTTTATTATTTTAATGATTTGTTTCTATGAACAATAAACCAGTTACTTAATTATAAATGGGACAAAAAAAATACTCTTTTTCTGCAGTATAATGGGATGAGAAAAGCACAATAGCGTTCCCATACTTATCGGGAAGAAAAAAAGTTAAAAGCACAACAATACTGTATTGATTACAGGCGCAACTTTCCAAGTGAACAAAACCGATCATTAATTAATTAAGGGCCCATTTGTTGACCAAAACCAAAAACAAGGTGTCAGTTTGCCCTCCAATTAAAAATGATCTAGTGTTAACATATTAATTGTTTAAACAGCTCCATTTTTTTTTTTGCCGGAAAACAACTTTAATTAGAATCTTATAAAAAGGATTAAGAAAAATCAAATTTCAGGTTTTTATAAAAAGATAGAGGAGTAACTCTCAAGTTAAGAATTTAAAACTCTAAATTTGCACCATTAATCAATAAACTGATCTCTTTCTGGTTGAAAAAAATTTGCACAATTTGGAAATGTTTTATATGGGATGAGATCCATTTAATAGAACTTATTAATACAATTTTTTAATTTGCGTAAGTAATTATTCTGTATTGCCAAATATGTATTTGATAATTAGTATGAAATATAAATATAAAGATTTTTCAGCTCAAATAAATTATAGGGTTAATATAATCTTTGATCCTTCAAGTTGGCTTTTATTTTAGTTTTAGTCCCTCAGGTTTCCAATTATGAGTTTTGATCCCTCAAGAGGAAAAATAGTCCAAGCATTTATTGGATTATAAGGACCGATATTTTAAATGACTTGAGGGACCAAAATCAAAATGAGAGTAAATTTGAAGGACTGAAGTTTGTATTAACCCTAAATTATAATATATAAGTTTTATTTTGCTTTTTGGGTGGAAAGTTTAATTTCGTTCACCAAAGTTTGAAATCCTGAATAAGGAGTTATGATTAAATCTAAAGATTTTTTTGAGTAAAACAGAAAATCCTTTTATTTTTTCAAACTTACTGGTTCGTTAATTTTCAAATAATCAAAATTTCTCTTCATATAAAATTTCTTACAACTACTATATTATATTCTAAGTAATTAAACCATAAATCATAAAATAAACCAGAACAAGCATGGTAATAAAGCAACATTGTATTGCAAACAATGCAATGAACACACTTTAAAAAAAATAAAGGATTATATGTTTCGTAATGGGTTAAACAAATCGCTGGATTCTGGTCAAAAAAAAAAAAAAACAAATCGCTGGAGCCTGTGATGCTTTATCTTTTGAATCACTACTCTGTTCAACCCTAAATATAAAAACTAAATAATTAATTTATATAGATTTAAAAATTAATTAATTAAGTTAATAATTTATAAGAAATATATGTTTTTTTTAAATATCCTCTTTAATCATTAACACTCTCATTAATGAAAACTTGCTTCAATCAATAGAATTGTTTAGTAAAAATTTTATAAATATGTGAGATAAAATAGATTGATATCTTATAATTAGGATTCAGAAAAATCTCTCTAGTTCTTATATTTAAGATTGGACAGATTATAATTTATTTCAACCCATATATTGTCCTTTTTAATATTATATATATGTATCATCTCAGATCTAGAATCACATCCACATCTTTGCACTATTGTTAAATATTCAGAAGAACTGCATCCAGTATTGTCAGAATTAATTAAAAGCGTACTCATATATTTTTAATTTGTAATTTGAAGATGTAGATCATATATAAGAGTATATTATATCTCATTCTCAGCGTTATTTTCCTTCAGCCATAAAAATCAAATTTATATCTCAAGTTGTGAAAAAGAATTTTTAGGAACTAGTACTTGATCATTAATCATCGTGCGAGCACGTGTATTATTTAAAACATCAGCTACTTGTCTCTTGAAGTAAAGGACTAAAGGGTAATAAATGGAGGGAGTAGTCTTTTAAGATGCTTGACAAATTAGAAATAAGGATATTTAATGCATGGATATTTTTTTTTTTTAGATTTCTCTTCCGGTATCCCAGGGAAATAGGCGTCTTTCAGCCGTGACAACGTCCCCAGACTAATCCGGATCGAAGGCTTGCAAGGAACCTTTCGGTCGACGCCCTCTGGCTCCTCAGGGTGCTGCATTCCCACCGTTCGAACTCGAGACCTGTGGTTAAGCTAGGACAGTCCCAGCCAGCTGACCTAACCCCTCGGGGTTAATGCATGGATATTTTAATAAAATATTGTGGATTAGATTTTACAATACAATAAAAATTATTAATAATAATTGTTTTAATCTATGTATGAAAATCCAAAGTCAGTAAGTCACACTCATCTCGAAATTGACAGATTATATTAAATTAGATGTTTGGTGTGAGCCGCCCCTATTTGTCATCATCACAAATTTCTAAACTTTGAATTATTGATAGATTACTATTAAATATTTAATATTTTGATTATATTCCACGCTATCCATGGCACTTGTATATAATTGCATAGCATCGACGCATTAATTATTATATGCTAAATATCGCCCATTTCCCAAACGTAACTCTTACCGGGAGCATATCATATCTACAACTAGCTGGCAACATTGAAATAATTAATTAAATATTCCAAGAGGTTGATAAGATATCGTAAAATAATCTCCTATGGAATATGAGATCTATTTATTAGAATTTATTAGTATAAAGACAAGTAAGCACATCATGTAATAATTATGCGACAATTCATATTAATAAATTTTTTTAAAAGTAGTTGTATATCATATTGCGAAATATAATAATATTTAACGCAATATGCACAATATGCGTGTGCATGTGTTTTTTAATATTTAGTACGACATAATATAATTTTATATTGCCAACTTATTATTTCTTTGGTTTTTGGGTTGGAACTGGAAGTATAATTTATTTGACCAAGTTATGATTAAATTCAAGGAAAACATTTCTTTCAGTTCATAATGAAAAACCATTCAGCATTTGAATTACATTAAATTCCAACTAATCTGACTTTAACTTGAGCTAGTTCTGGATTGGGAGTAACTCCCTCAAAAATATTTTCTACTGTAAATACTCAAATTTGAGATCTCTTATTTAAATGATCATAGCCCTTTTATTAAAACTAATACATGTTTGCTCATTTCTTCTTCTTCTTTTTTTTGGACATAGAGAAGAGAAAATCTTATATTTATTATATCTTTTCAAACTAGCTTTCTAAATCGTAAAAATGTTTATATAGTTTTAGTTAATATTACAGCATTATCCTTTGTTCAGAGAACCTAAACATAATACTGATTATACATATCTGATCACATCAAGTCGGCAAATTATTAATTTTAATTTATGTAAACAATTTCACCAAGAATAAAATGTTCAGTGTAAAACAATTAAGAGAATGCATTTACAGAAATATATAATCTGCAGGCCAAAATCGAAAGTATGATTATAGATGTCTCTTTCATATCTATTTGCATTAATATATCATTATTTACGGAAAACTTTGTTGATGAGTAATGTGTAAGTACCTCCAATAATACTCTCTGAATTCTGAGACATAACATACCAATCTAGAGCAGTACTTTTTTTTATTTTTTTTGAAACTTAAGTATGAGAAGGTCACTGTCTTTTTTTAACATTTGAAAATACAGAGCAAAACATTGCAAGTTTCCCCACTTTTCCCTTGGCCGCCCACGATGTCGCATATTGGAAGTCGGGATAAGCAAAATTTTATTATAGGACTCCCTTTGTGATAAATACCCGTGAGAATACAATATTTTTAATACTATAGAAAATACAAGGTAACTTAATAGTATGCCACGTTATTAATTTGGATGATATTCTTCCATATTTCCAAAATACTAGTAGTATAAACTCGATTTATAACTTCGTTAGATTTGGCTTTTCACTACTATGCTAAAAGGAGTAAAATTATTATACTGCTGAAATTCATGTATAGAACATTACCTCTTTCCTTTAGTGAGTGTTAGACTTTGAAGATCTCGGAAGGTTAACCCAAAAAAAAAAAAGGACTATTCGTAGTTTTTTGTCATTAATACCATTTCGATACCATAATCGCACACGACATCCGAAAAAAAAAATACTAGTATATAAAACTCAAAGCATGGCGTGCATCAATCTCAAAGCAATAACACGTGACGGGAGAGATCATGGTTTAATAAATGTAATCTTATAAATAAATATTACTTTATCTCTTATTATAAGATCCTTTTAACTAAATTACGCGGTTTAAGAAAACGGTTAAAATTAGTAAAAAAACAATTAATATGTAGTAAATACAATTTTTTTTACAAATACACCCTTATATATAAATGGGTAGATGTGAGAGAGTAATAGTAAGATAAATAAAAAAAGATAATATATTAAATCCATTAAACTAGGGATAAAATAGATAATAATACATTAAATGTTCAGACAAACTCAAAAAAATTTTTTATAAAAAAGGATAAACATATTAAAAAAATTAGATATTATAATAAGAGATGGAGGAAGTAAATAACAGTTATTGCTCGAGTTAACATGGTGGTGTGTGTATATAAATATAGGTCCTTGTTGAGGCACCAATGTGTGTCCAAAGCTTCTAAATCTGATTGCTTCATTATTCTATTCATCATGAGGAATCCAATTTGTGAATTGGTGGATATGGTAGTGAAGACTCTTTGGGGTTTCATTCTCAAGAGCCTCATCCACAAGGATTTCCATGAAGCCTTTCATAAGATGACCGTCATTGATCGCTGCCTCTTCATTGTAATAAACCCTAACCAACCATCTTTATTACTTATATATGTTGTCTTCATTAATCAATCTTTTTCATTTTCCCCTTTATCAAATTATAGTCTTTGTTTCTCCTTCCCATCATCATCATCTTCCTTTTCTGGCACTCTTATGTGTGTGGGTTTCAAATTTCTCAGTCTAACAAGGCTCTCAAAAATGCATAGTAGAAATGACTTTTCTTCTAATATTTGCTCCCTATTTAAAGTCTTTTGACTCTTTTTTTTAGTTCCTCATGACGTTTTCTTGTTTTCAGGGAGTTCTCTTTATGAGATTTTCTCATTAAACTTGTATTTTAAATATTTTATCGTCTGTAATTTTTGATGCGTTATCTACTGTTATATCATATCATTCGGCCCAAACTTCAAAATGGTGCCAATTGATTCATTTTAGCCAACGAATGACATGATATTACAAGAGATCGATGGCCAAAAATTTGTCCCACACATGATGAGAGAGGCTAAACTTCACCCACTGCTCGTCATCAAAAAATTAATTAATGCATATGCACATGATATGAAGAAGGCTAGCTAGCTAATGAAATGGATGATTTGTTGGTGAAGTTTGTGCACTACATAGACCGGCTGGGGATATGGCACCGGATGCCGGTGTTCATGGGGCTGATCTACCTGGCGGTCCGGCGACATCTGCATCAAGAATACCATTTGCTGAACGTAGGGCTTAGTCCTGTCAGTGTCCGGAGCAACCCAGCCGGAGTGCCTTATAGGACTGACGATGGATCCTACACTGACCCCTTCATTGAAGATGCTGGCAGCCATGGATCATTCTTTGGCAGAAACATTCTTCCTTTTGATCAGCAAAATAAGGTGTATGCACATATATATATATATATCTTCATGATCATATGATAATTGAATTAATGATATATACATATATAGAGTTTGTTGAATTAATTATTAAACGAAACGAAATGAATGAATAATATTTGCAGCTTCAAGATCCTCATCCTATATTAGTGGCTGAAAAGCTTTTGGCTCGGAGGAATACTTACAAGGACACAGGGAAGCAGTTCAACATCATAGCAGCTTCTTGGATTCAGTTCATGATTCACGATTGGGTGGATCACTTGGAGGATACCAACCAGGTTGGTTTTTTTTTTTTTTTTAAAGAAAAACTGTATCAATCTAAATATTATTCTTTGCAGATTCTCTCCTGCACAGTAGCCTAACAGATCTAGGCAGAATTTCTATTAGGGTAGACATAACAAGAGAAAATCGAGACCTAGTGATTCTCACTTCGGAGGCTCCTACCTCGTTTTTAGTCTCTTTCATACAAATACGTGCGATCTCTTGTTCCAATAATAAATTTATTTGAAAATAAGTTTCTTTTGTTTTTCCTCCCAAATTTACTCATATTTAACACCATGAATTATAGCCAAACAAAGTAAATTGTATTTTAGAAAAAATATCCTACCCGGCGGCTTACAATGACAACTTATTTTTTTAAGGCACTCTAATGCGGATCACTGAGGGAGTATATAATGTTAAACTATTGCAATATGACAATGAAAAAGATTTAGTCCACATATGCAACTTGTAATGCTGCGGGGGAAATAGTTAAAAAATTATTAAATAAGATTCTATATATATTCTGAGCCGGCCTTTTGTTTTCTTACAGTATTATTACATCTTCCTCTAGTCTTTTTGGCAAGGTACTTCTAGCATGTTTCATATAGATAAAAAAAAAAAAACTCAAACTGTGTTAACTTTCTATTAAAATATAACAAGTTTTTAACTTTATCCCTATCTAATATATACACTGCACATTTAAAGAAATAATTATTTATGCTATAATAAATGAATGACAAAATAGTACATTCATACTAAAAATTTAATGAAGTGACTTATAAATAGGATCAATAAAATCTTCCTCTCTCTGTCTTATAAATAGGACCAAATGAGTATGAAATAATTAATTCAGGATTTATCACCCCCGGTCCTAATTATAAAAGCTAGTTAACTAATTTGAGGAGATTAAGAAAATAAGTTAAGTTAGTTATTTGTAATAAATATGTGTTGTCTTTCCTAAAATATCCTTATTAATCAAGTGTATTGGCTATAGCTATCATTGTTAGAAAAACTACCGTGAAAAAAAAACATAAATATGAGAAACAAAGTGTATTGGAGTCTTATATTTAGAACCAAGATAAAAGTAAAAAAAAGTCTCATATTAAGGATCGAAGGTAGTATTATATATATTAGGAGTTGTTATACAGCATATGGAAGTATTTAATTTGCGGATTAATTATGTCTTATGAATTCTGGCAGGTTGAGCTAGTAGCGCCAAAAGAGGTGGCTGGCCAATGTCCTTTGAGTTCCTTCAAATTCTTCAAAACAAAGGAAGAAGCCACTGGCTTCTACGAGATCCAGAAAGGCCATCTCAACATTCGCACTTCTTGGTGGTATGAAGCTGTGACATATTTCTTTATTAAACATGCCGCATCCTTTAGATAGATATGTGCTCACTCGGATACTTCATATAAAATTAACTAACTTATTTAGGGAGATTGAAGAAGTTAACAAATTATTTAAAATATTTATATTTATCGTTTTCCTCTAAACTAATTTGTTACTATTATAAATTTATATATAATCTAATGATAAACATAAGTACTTTAGAAATATCATATAACATATGCTCTAATTAAGTAATATAGCAACTCTTTTAATTTTTTCAAATTAGTCAATTAGGTGTTATACTAAGGAATGGAGGTAATAATAAATACATGTGTGTGTACTTTTGTATAATAAGCAAGTAATTAAGCATATGGAGGAAAATGTGTATATGCCCATCAGGGATGCAAGTGTGATATATGGAGCCACAAAGGAAAAGGTAAAGAAAGTGAGAACAGGGGTAGATGGGAAGATTAAGATAGCAGACAATGGCCTTCTTCCTCATGATGAAAATGGCATTGCTATCTCTGGCGATGTCCGAAATAGCTGGGCTGGTGTTTCAACGTTGCAGGCCCTCTTCATCCAAGAACACAACCTTATCTGTGACGCCATCAAGGTATCTATATCTATATATATAAACGAAGTTTCTAATTAAATATATTACTAGTTTAATTAATTAATTAACAAATCTTGTTGGCTTAATTTAATTAATTTCAAATGTTGCAGAAAGAAAATCCAGAGTTGAGGGACGAAGAGTTGTATAGGCATGCAAGGCTGGTCACTTCTGCTGTGATTGCAAAGATCCACACCATTGATTGGACTGTGGAGCTTCTCAAAACCGATATGTTATATTCTGGGATGCGTGCTAACTGGTGAATAATTAATATACCCCTGCTCAAAAGCTCATATTATATTATTTAACTTAAAATTAAAATTAAGGCTAAAATATATATTTAGTCTTTTTAACTTCATACAGGGTTTTAATTTGATCCTTTAATTTTAAAAAGCATACTTTTGGTCATTTAGCCCTAAAATCGTTAATGTTGAATGATTATTTTTTATAACAATCATGGTTGTTTTGAAAATTAAACTTAATATGTTAATATTTTGAACATGTTTTATCAACATTTAAAATCTTAATATCATCATTTTTTATTAACAATTTTAGGATTATAGGACCAAAAGTATATTTTTCAAATATAAGGAACCAAATTAAAATTCTCTATAAAATTAAAGAACTAAATATATACTTTAACCTAAAATTAAATATCCCCAGAAAGATAGAGAGAGAGAGAGAGATTCAGTTGATGGAAGAAACTTGAACCCATTTTTTCAGGTATGGATTACTGGGGAAGAACTTCAAGGACAAGTTTGGGCATGTTGGAAATTCCATTTTGGGAGGTCTGGTTGGAATGAAGAAGCCAGATACTCACGGAGTTCCATACTCTTTGACAGAGGAATTCGTGAGTGTTTATAGGATGCATCCTCTTCTTCCGGACAAGCTTCAGATCCGAAACCTCAAAGGCGCAATAGGAGAAAACAAACAACCTCCTTTGAAAGAAGAGTATGTCTCTCTCTCTCTCTCTCTCTCTCTCTCTATATATATATATATATATATAATGCCTTTCGACTTCTTGATGTATGTGTCACCTTTTTTCATTAATTTCTTCGTTGGAATTAATGTATGGGTCGTTGTGACGATGACGATGGCAGGATCGAGATGGAAAAGTTGATAGGATTAGAAGGTGAACAAACCTTGAACTCAGTAGGATTGGAGACTCAAATGGTGTCAATGGGTCATCAAGCTTGTGGAGCCCTTGAACTTTGGAACTACCCACAGTTTCTACGAGACCTCGTAGCCCATGATGTGGATGAAAAGCCTAGGCCAGATCATGTGGACCTCGCTGCCCTTGAAAGTACGTGGGGGAAAAAAAGCATGCTATGTATAAATGCAGGTTTTTTAATTAGTTATGATGTAATAATTCAGACACTGAAAATATACTGTTATACATGTATATGCATATGCAGTCTATAGGGACAGAGAAAGAAACGTGCCAAGGTACAACAACTTCCGAAGAGGATTACTTCTGCTTCCAATCTCAAAATGGGAAGATCTGACAGATGATGATGAAACGATTGTATCACTGAGAGAAGTGTATGGTGATGATGTTGAGGAGCTTGATCTTCTTGTGGGTCTCTTGGCAGAGAAGAAGATCCCTGGCTTCGCCATTAGTGAGAGTGCCTTCATCATTTTCCTCCTCATGGCAACTAGGTATGCATCTCTATTTATCTAAACTAAGCACATATATACTGATAAAGATGTAGCTAGAGATATTAAGTCTCACATTGAGTAGTTAGATACAACCAGCTAACTCTTGCGGCGGATTCCCTATTCCAGTTAGATACACATCATAAACTTGAACACGTGAGAGCTGATCAGTAAGAGTTGATTTTGTGCAGGAGGTTAGAAGGTGATAGATTCTTCACAACAAATTACAACGAAGAGAGCTACACGAAGGTGGGATTGAAGTGGGTGAACACTACTGAGAGCCTTAAAGATGTTATAGACAGACATTATCCAGAAATGACAAGCACATGGATGAACTCTGAGAGTGCTTTCTCTGTTTGGAATGACACACCCAAACCTCACAACCCTATCCCCATCTGGCTTCGTATTCCTCATTAAGTAATTAATCAAAGCCCTTTTGCTTTGGCTTATGTATGTCTTCATTAACTTCTTAGGTCTGTGTTTCAAGCTGTGTCTTCAGTTTTATGAGCTACCTACCTACTTGTCTTGTCCTCCTCTACTAAGGATGCTGCCGTCTTTCTGGTCCTTCCCATAAAATTTCGGGCTTCTAATGTATGATCTTTTTTTTTTTGAGCAAAGGCTTCTAATGTATGATCTGAAATGCTTATATGTGGCATCTTTTCAATAATGTTATTTGATGCAAGATAGGCAAAATTGCACCTCTATCCTTCAATTTTGCACAAAATTTTTATTTTGGCCATTTAATTTTATATTACGAATAAAAATATTATAAAATAAAAACATTTCGTGGAACTACCGTTAACTACGTTAGAATAGACTTTTGTTTGTTTCCAATTAATTATAGCATCTTGTTCCAAATGAATTAACGCAAGATTCTCAACTCTTCCTTAACGTTCCGTCAAAACTAGAATCAAAGAAAACTTAAATAGACTAAAAAGAAAATAAAACTTAAATAATCAATGTCAATACAAACAAATAAAATCGCTATAATTAGTTAAATTACTCTTCTATTCCATTTCATTTACATTTAATATAATCTCCATATTTATAATATAAAAATTTTAATTTAGTCTTCCTTAATTTTTATTAAAATATTCCAGAATATTGTTATAAACTCATATGCTTAACTCTATACTACCTCCGATTCTAATTATAAGCCGTTATTTAAGCTCTTATAATTAGGACTGGAGGTAGTATCTTTCGGTCCTTAATATAAGATCTAATTATTGAGTTAATTTTAGTCCTAAATATAAGACCTATTTGTTATATTTATCAATTTTTTCTAAATTACCCCTATGCATACTCTCTCAATCATAATCAAATAGAAGAAAGAAGAAGGATATTAAGAAAGATGATTATGGTGTTTTAGGAAAAACATATTATATTTCTTATAATCACCCAATTTACCTAACTTTCTTAATTTAATCAAATTAGTTAAATAAGTCTTATATTAACGACCGGAGAAGTATTACTTAAACATTTGCATAAACATAAAATTCAAGTTAAATTATATCCTTTGCTATAGGAGGGGCGATGGATAATTTATCGTCTAAAAATTAACTAAAGATGGATGAACATATATGCAGAATAAAACTCTAATCCTCGTAGAGTTTTGTACCCAAAAAAAACAAAAAGAAAAGAAACTGGAGTTATAAATCAAAACGGTGTGCTGGTCAATTCCACTTCCTCAAAATGGCCAATCAATTCAATTGCGTTGGTTTGACTCCTAAATTGTATGTGAAGCATCTATGAATGATATCATAGATAAATACCCAATAACCCTTCAAAGCATACTAACTTCTATTCGACCTCCATTAAAGATTCTGAATTTCGATATCCACAATCCCCTTGGATACCAACATCTATCTACATTGCTTGTAAAACACAGTTCAAGAACAGAGAAATGGCTTATAATGGAAATGGGGATACAGTAGAAAGTCGGTTTGATGGTATTGGGGAAGATGAACAAGTGCAGAAACCAAACCAGAAGGGCATGGAGTTCAAAGAAAAGGTTTCATTGGAGAGAGTGTTCATGAGCCAGGTGGTGCTTCCGTGGAGGAAGCAACTAACGTTGAGAGCCCTAGCTGTTAGCCTATGTCTGAGCATACTGTTTAGTTTCATAGTGATGAAACTGAATCTCACCACTGGGATTATTCCTTCCCTCAACGTCTCTGCTGGTCTTTTGGGTTTCTTCTTCGTCAAGACATGGACAAAGTTGTTGGAAAAGTCTGGCATGTTGAGACAACCATTTACTAGACAGGAAAACACAGTCATTCAGACCTGTGTTGTCGCTTCCTCTGGCATTGCCTTTAGTGGTACCATCTTTGTCCCTATTAACATGTAATCTTGTTAATTTTTGGAAGAGATTAAGTTAATTTGCTCTAATCTTCAATGAACAGGAGGTTTTGGAAGCTACCTCTTTGGAATGAGTGAACGTATAGCCAATCAAACTTTAGACAAGAGTGACTTCAAAAACCCTTCATTAGGATGGATTATTGGGTTTCTCTTTGTTGTCAGCTTTATTGGCCTTTTCTCAGTTGTACCTTTGAGGAAGGTATATATGATTCATCCATTGACTGACTTCACTATGCAAAATGATTCTTACATGTTGCTGATGCTTATATAATACATGACTTCATTGCAGATTTGTTTTATTTGTGTTATTGGTTGCAGATTATGATTATTAACTTCAAGTTGACATATCCAAGTGGTACTGCAACTGCTCATCTCATCAACAGCTTCCACACTCCTGAAGGAGTCAGACTAGCAAAGTAAGGCATTGTAATGGACCCTTAATAGTTCACATTTGACCTATGTGGGAATTTAGACATATAAACTGATATATATTCATATTCTACCCTCAGGAAGCAAGTAAAAGTATTGGGAAAATTCTTCAGTCTCAGTTTCCTATGGGGTTTTTTCCAATGGTTCTATACTGCTACTGATCAATGTGGATTTCAAGCCTTCCCTTCTCTAGGCCTGAAAGCATATCAGTACAAGTATGTTCTTACATATCTATCTTCAAACATTTATCTCTCTGTAACTAACCCTTTACTATTTCTTGTTTCAGGTTTTATTTTGATTTCTCTTCAATCTATGTTGGAGTAGGAATGATTTGCCCATATATCATAAATGTATCAGTGCTCCTTGGAGGAATTCTTTCTTGGGGAATAATGTGGCCTCTCATAGAAAAGAAAGAAGGCCAGTGGTACCCCCCCAACCTTGATGATACTGACATGAATGGCCTTCAAGGTTACAAGGTTTGTTTCCTATGATCAAGCAAAAGTAGTTCTGCCGTTTACATGCTTTGTGGTTTTTCCAACCTCAAATTCACTTGCCTTCCTCCTTAATTTCAGGTATTTATAGGCATATCATTGATCCTAGGAGATGGTTTATATAACTTATTCAAGGTTCTAGGTCATACTCTTATTGGTATCTACAAACAAATCAGAGACAAACGAAGAGAGAATGTTCTTCCTGTTGCAGATCAGAACTCACCCTCACCTACACAACTTTCCTATGATGATCAACGTCGAATCGAATTCTTTCTCAAAGATCAAATACCCTCATATTTTGTAGTTGGAGGCTATGTGGCAATTTCTGTAGTCTCCATGATCACAGTCCCACACATCTTTCCCCAACTTAAATGGTACTACATACTGGTGATCTACCTGTTTGCTCCTGCATTGGCATTCTGTAATGCTTATGGATGTGGACTAACGGACTGGTCTCTAGCATCCGCTTATGGAAAGCTAGCCATCTTCGCCATTGGAGCTTGGGCCGGTTCCTCACATGGTGGCATTCTAGCTGGGCTAGCAGCCTGTGGAGTGCTGATGAACATAGTCTCCACAGCCTCTGACTTGATGCAGGATTTCAAGACAGGCTACCTCACACTGTCATCACCAAGGTCTATGTTTTTCAGCCAAATTATAGGCACAACAATGGGTTGTGTGATCTCTCCTTGTGTTTTCTGGGTCTTTTACAAGGCTTTTAAAGACCTTGGCACACCCCATAGTGAGTATCCTGCTCCTTATGCTATAGTGTACAGAAACATGGCCATGTTGGGTGTAGAAGGTTTCTCTTCTCTTCCAAAGCACTGTCTTTTGTTTTGCTATATTTTCTTTGTTTCTGCCATTGTGATAAACTTGATTAAAGACTTGATGGGTAAGAGAGGTTGGTTCATACCACTTCCAATGGCCATGGCCATTCCATTCTATATAGGGCCATACTTCGCCATTGACATGTGTGTTGGAAGTCTGATACTGTTTGTGTGGGAGAAGATGAACAAGGCTAAAGCAGATGCTTTTGCTCCTGCGGTGGCTTCTGGGCTGATATGTGGGGATGGGATATGGACTTTGCCTGCTTCAATACTTGCTCTTGCTGGAGTTAAGCCACCTATTTGCATGAAGTTCTTGTCCAGGGCAACGAATGCTAGGGTTGATGCTTTCTTAGGTTCTTAGAGGTTGAGGTTTGGCTTCAAATTAATATCTTGTTCAGAGACTCTAGTTTATTAGTGCCTTGTAAATCTTTGCCTTTCAAACATTATGCAAAGTAAGCCTAGAGTTGAATAAAATGTGATTGTAAAAATGGGAAGAAACTAGCTAGAATCTTACACCAGAAAAGCACGCTTCCTTGGGGTGAGTTGGGATGTTCATTGTATGTATAATCTGGTTATAGGTATTGCATTTAGCGCTCTTTGTTCCTAGTTGAAGATTAGTGAAGATACGAGTAATTGTTTGGCAGTAACTCCAAGTATTTATTTTTTATGGGCTGATTACCTATTTATCTTTTTCATCATTTTTTTTTTTGGGAAAAAGCTGGGTTTCTTAATTTGCTGCTCCACCTCCTTTTGATTGAACTAAAAATAACAATTTTTATCCCCACATTAAATGAAGTTTTTTTCTCATAAGGACATATGCTAATATCCGGTAAGATACTCAAAAAGAATAAAAAAATCATTAACTTATTTAAAGCTTTATTAGGAATGCTTATTGAAAAGTGAAGTAAGCATTTTATGTTTTTGAAGAATGCAAATCACTATTAATTACATAAATATATTTATATCATTTTTATTTTTTTTCTAAAATTGTTTTACATATCAGTATTCTAAAAATATTAATAATACCACGCAAAAGCCAGCAGGTTGTAAAACAATTTCAAATACACAAACCCATGATGGTTGCTAAAAAGGAATTTCTTAAAGAATTTGGTAACAGTAAACTAAAACATCGTCCCCCATGCTTGCTACAACAGATATTTAATTCTCTACAATAAAACTCCCTTCGTTCATCTTCCATGCATCTCCATTTCTTTTCTATAAATCATTTCCATCCTTTCTTCACCATATCACAATGATATATCTCCTGCATGAACTGGTGGGTGAGAGGTGTGTCAACCTTCTTTAGCCATCACATCAGCAATTTTAGGAGGAACAACAGCATCCCTTTACTTGCTTGAAATTGTGGCATCATCCCTGTAATCCAGATCATAAGCTCAAGCAGTCCAATCTTCATCACTTTCATCCACATCCTATGTAAAACTTCCATGAGAGCAAATTAGTGTAACAGCAAGAAGAGGACGGGTATATGAGATTCTCAAGTCCTTCAAATGTGTTGTCAGATTATTCAACAAAAATATGTTTATGAATTTAATGAAACTCAAGTTTTGTACTTGTAATCG